CTGGTGGTCCCCCTCCCTGGTGGCCCCCCTCCCTGGTGGTCCCCCTCCCTGGTGGTCCCCCTCCCTGGTGGCCCCCCTCCCTGGTGGTCCACCTCCCTGGTGGTCCCCCTCCCTGGTGGCCCCCCTCCCTGGTGGTGGTCCTTAGAACCCGCACGTCCCTCGCTGGCAAGGCCCTTCGCAGTTGCTCCTGACATGGGCAGACCCATCGGAACCTTCAGAGCTCACCAACAATGCCCCAGCATCTGTGGGCACCATGCTGCCCAGCCACCTTGCCAGGGGGTTCAGGGGCCCCTCACATCAGCACTCTCCCCGGGGACTGGGGGTCTCCCTGTAGGTGGCGAGTGGGGGCCGCGGCAGCTGCGTCCCCATGAGGAGGAGAGGAAGATGCCGGCTGAGCTGCTGCTGCTGCTGATTGTTGCCTTCGCCAGCCCCAGCTGCCAGGTGCTCTCATCACTGCGCATGGGTGAGGCCCCACCACCCCCCGCCCGCCGCTCAGAGACCCTCCCATCGGCTCCCACAGCGCTCCTCTTCGAAACCCAGGCCTGCCAGTCCCTCAGGACCCAGAAACCTGGGCCTCTCCACTTTGCTCAGCAGCAAAAAAGCAACAGTCCCGGAGAGTCTAGACCCCTAGACCTTGCCAACCTCATACTGGGAGTCTAGACCCATCACCCCCAGCCCTACCCCGATCTCAGAGCCCAGCACCCCAGTCCCTCGGCCCTCAGGAATCCCAGGAGACTGGTCCCCAACCCTTGTGTTCCCCCAGCTGCAATCCTGGACGACCAGACGGTGTGTGGCCGTGGCGAGCGTCTGGCCCTGGCCCTGGCTCGGGAGCAGATCAACGGGATCATCGAGGTCCCGGCCAAGGCCCGCGTGGAAGTAGACATTTTTGAGCTGCAGCGGGACAGCCAGTACGAGACCACAGACACCAGTGAGCAGGGCCGCAGGGGTGTGGGGTGAGGCAGGGCAGGGCGGTGGCCCTCGGTCCATCCTCTGCCCCCTCGGCTCACTGTGTCTTCCAGCCCTCTCTGCCCCTTCCTCCCTTCGTATCTGCTCTGCTTTCTCCTTCCCAGAGATGGGGCTGCTGGGTGTGGGAGGTGGGGAACACCAGCCCCAGGCCCACCCTGGAGAGGCTCAGGGCCTCATTTCCCAGTGAAAGAGAAGCTTCCCAGTGGGCTGGGACACTGGGCCCCCGAGCCGAGTACTGGGGAGCCTGGGCTGAGAGACCAGGTGGGTCTCAGGAGCCTCAGGGCCTTCTGGAGAAGGCAAGACTGAATTGGAGCTTTGGCGAGTGAGCAGGATATAGAAAGAGTAGGACGTGACTGACCACAGGGCGAAAGTACTTGTTGAATACCGACAGCATGACTAGATGTGAGTAGGTGTCCTTCACAGGTGTTCTGGGCTCGGAGCCCTTGGGAGAGGCTGCCTTAGTGTGGCTTAGACAGATTTCTTCCCTGCAGGCCTGTCAGAGCCTTTATCTTGGTCATATATGTTTCTGCTTGAGATGGGGAGGACAGCAGGTTTCCTGGCCCTTTCTTTTTTCTTTGACTGGTGTGGTACAAACTGGGGCAAGCTGGGATGCAGCTGTCTTCTAGAGGGCAGGGTGGTAGGGTATTTCGAGCCAAGGAAGAGGGTATAAGGTGGCATCCATCCTGACCACCTGCACTCAGGACATGTTTTAGGGGATCATGAGAGACTTATTTTTATTTATGCATACAGAGCTGGGGTACAAGTCAGAGGTGCAGAGGCAGTGAGAGGCTTCACCAGAGACAGAGTGGGGAGCAGGACAGACAAGTCGATGAAGTACACTGCTGAGGGGAGCAGTGGGCACGTCAGGAGAGGTCTGCTGCACCATGTGGGTCACCTCTGGGGCTGAGTGTTGAACTTGCACTGAAGTGGTTGCCACCAGCTTGCAGTGCTGCTTCCTAACCAGTTGCGCCACCAGGGAGGGCCCAAGTTCATGAGGGGCTTCTGGGTGGAGTATGATTGGGCCATGGGAGTGGGAAGCGAAGCTGGACAGGTTGGCTCACTGAGAAGCTGCTTTCACCCATGAGCGGTGGGGAGTTGTCAGTGGGTTATCCTAGGGCACTGAGCTTGTGGTAGGTGAGTCTGGAGGTTAGATTTGGGTGACCAGTGAGGGGGCGAGGGCGTGCCTGAGTTGAGAGCCCCAAAACAGATCCAGGGAGGAGAATTTAGAGAGAAGGAAGGGGACAGATGTGAAAAAGTTGGAGGATGAAAGAAACAGGACTTGATGTCTAATTGGTTACTGGGAGAAGGATGGCAAAGACCATTTCCGGGTGTTCAGTCAGTGTCCGTGGTGAGGGCCTCACCGACATGGATGGCGCCGAAGCTGCAAGTTGAGAGGAAGATGAGACGTGTGTTTACTATGGCTTCAGTTGGATGTGGCGGCAACTCAGCAGAGGCTGCCTTGAGGGGAAAGAACTTATCACTTCATGTCACTAAAAGTTTTTTTTTAAAGATTTATTTATTTATGCATACAGAACTGGGGTACAGGCCAGAGGTGTGGGGGGCAGTGAGAGGCTTCACCAGAGACAGAGTAGGGAGCAGAATGCAGATTGACAGAATACACCACTCAGAGGAACAGCGGGCGGTCAGGAGAGGTCTGCCGTGCCATGTGGGTCAGCTCTGGGGCTGGGATCCAACTCATGCTGAAGTGGCTTTAGCTTCTTTAGTGCTGTGCTTTAACCTGCTGCGCCACCAGGGAGGGCCCATCACTAAAAGTTTTAAGAACTAATTTCAGGCATGGTTGGGTCCAGGTAGGGAAATGATATTCTAAGATGATTTCAGGCATGGCTGGGTCCAGGTGTTCAAAGGATGTTCTAGTCCTGCTTTCCTCTAAGTTGGCTTCATTCCCATCCTCCCCAGCTGATGGCAGGATGGCCCCAACAGCTAACAGATTACATCTCCCCGGTTTAGCAAACTTAGAAGTAACTGTAGAAGACCTGAGGGGAGCCTCTTGGTCTACTTTGAGCCCATTCCCATCTCTGAACCACTCACTATACCCAGGAGAAGGTGATTCTGTGATCCTGGGTCAGGGACCCGTGGATCCTGGGAACTTGGGGGAAGGCAGGTTCTACCATAGGAAAAGGCACTGGGCTGGCCGCACGGAAGGCACATGTCGAGGCCGACAAAGTGAACGGAAGAGGAGCAAGTAATTGACAGAAGAATGAGGTAGAGGATAGAGCCCCAGCTGAGGGGTGTTGGGTGCACCCTAGGTTCTAGTGTGGAACAGGCTGAAGAACTGGGTACTGGATTTGCACACAGACAGAGATTCAGGTGTCTGGTTCTTCCCTTCCTGTTTCCGCATTGATCCACCTCTCCCCTGTGGCCATTGCCCCCACACGCTCTGCCTTGCACCCTGCCTGCCGGGGCCTCCTGATATGGTTCAGAGGCACATCAGGCATTGTTCTCTCCTCGCCTGGGCCAGGGTGTTTCTATGAGGGGTTCCCTGACTCTGCCGTCTCTCCCCCACCCCGCCCCCTGCAGTGTGTCAGATCCTGCCCAAGGGGGTCGTGTCTGTCCTGGGGCCCTCCTCCAGCCCTGCATCTGCCTCCACCGTGAGCCATATCTGTGGGGAGAAGGAGGTGAGGTGGAAGCCCCGGTGGGGCAGGGTGGCGTGGGTGCCGGAAGGAGAGGGGTGGGGAGGAGGGAGCAGGAGAGAAGTCAAGCCTTCTTGTCTGTCCAGATCCCCCACGTCAAGGTGGGTCCCGAGGAGACGCCTCGCCTCCAGTACCTTCGCTTCGCATCTGTCAGTCTGTACCCCAGCAACGAGGATGTCAGCCTGGCCGTGTCCCGAATCCTCAAGTCCTTCAATTACCCCTCTGCCAGCCTCATCTGTGCCAAGGCCGAGTGTGAGGGAGAACTGGATGCTTTGTTTTCTTTTTTTAAGATTTACTTTATTTGTGCACACAAGAGCTGGGGTGCAGGCCAGAGGCTCAGGGACGTGAGAGGATTCACCAGAGACGGAGGGAGCAGAACAGGTGGACTGACTGGAACATAGTGCTGAAGGGAGCAATGGGGAGACAGGAGAGGTCTGCTGTGCCCTGTGGGTCTCTCCCTGGCTGAGGATCAAACTCACACTGCTGGTAGCTTGATTACGCTGAGACGTTAACCCTTGCACCACCAGGGACGTCCCTGGATGCTGTTTTTACTATTCCCCATACGTCCCTCCCCAAGAAGTCTCGTGTCCCACACAGCAACATGGTCGTCACCACTATCCCTTCCCCTTTAAAAACTTAGACCTCTTCCTCTATAGATCCCCCCCAATCTCTCCAAAGAGACGGCCAGTAGATCGTGACTAAGCACCTGCTAGGCATGAGGCCCTCTGGTGGGGGTGCCAACGTGGTCCCCAGCCTCCTAAATCCAGGGCCCGTGGAGGACACAACAGCTGAGCAGTTGTGACTTGGAGTGATCTGTCAGGAGGTGTGGGGGGCTGTCAGAGCACTCAGGTGGGGACCCTACTAGGTCTGGGAGGTTAGAAGCCTGCATTCCTGAGAAGGGGACATCTAAGCAGGACTGAAGGATGGGGAAGAAGGCATGGTGGGGCCAGGGCCCTTTTGAGAAGCTCAAGGGCACACGGTAGCCGAAGTGTGACCGCAGGGCTCTTGCGTTTCATCCTGAAGGTGATGGAGTTCCCCACACACGGTGGGGCAAGGGGCAGGGTGCCACATGGGTGCAGGGGAGCCTTGTCGGGAACGCACTGCAGAGTGATCCGAGGTGTGGCCAGGCCTTAGCCAGAGATGGCGAGAAGCCCCGTGGCCAGGGCTCAGGAGGAGACCCGGGAGGATTTGAGGAGGAAAAGGCGGGGGGTTGTGTCTGGCAGACCAGGTCTGCCCAAGGAGGAGGGATCAGTTCTGGGGCACATCTTGGGTCTTGGAGAACTTTCTAGGGGAGACACAGGGTGGGCTGGTGGACTTGTGGCTGTGACTCTTGAGGGCTGAGCTCAGTTACCTCCAGAGAAGGTCCTTGGTGAAGGGGTGTTTACTGAGCGCCCTCAGTCCAGCCATCACTCCTATGTTGGGGACCCTGCAGCAACTGAGCCAGGAGGGTCTCTGCCCTTGTCAAATCTCCTTCCAGAGGGAGGAGCTAGGAAGTGAACAGACGCAGTAAAGAAGAGGGTCTAAGGGATGGAGGGCGGGATGAGGGGGTGCAACTTAAAATGGAACTGGGGCTGGGCTTGGACCTTATAGAGGGGATGACACGGGAGCCAGGTGGGGCCCTAGAAGAGCATTCCGGGCAGAGGGAGCATAAGACAGCAGGAGGCTGGAGCCAGCGGCGGGAAGGAGGAGTCAGCCAGGTAGCTTGGTGGTCGGCAGGTCTGGGGGGGCCATGGAGGCCGTGAGGACCTGACCCTCACGCTGAGCCAACGAGGAGTCTCTAGAGGGTTTGGGGCAGAGGAGGAGGGGTCTGCCTTCCACTTTTTTGGCTGCTGAATGGGGAACAGACCCTCTGGGATAAGTGTGGCTGTTGGAACAAGAGATGTCAGTGTTTAAGCCAGGATTGTGGGGCGGTGCCACGGGGTTCAGTGTGTTTTGACGGTGGAGTCTAGGTGGACTGGACAAGCCAGTGAGAGAGGGGAAGCCAGGCTCCCATTGTGAGTTTGGCCCAGGCGACGGGCTGGAGCTCGTTTACTGGCCAGGGCAGGCGAACAGAGAGCAGCTTTGCACAGGTTACATGAGATCCTGGGAGGGCATGAAGGTGGTGGCAGACGGGAGTCTACAATTTGGGGGAAGGTGTAGCTTGGCGATGGAATTCAGGAGCACCCCTGACCATGGGTCCTGGATTCCTGGGCCCACCCTGGGCCCCTCCTCAGCTCCTGTGCTGGGGAGGACAAAGGAGTGTCCACCCCACTGCTGGCTTCTCACAGGGGCCCTGCCACTTCCTCAGGTCTGCTGCGATTGGAGGAACTGGTTCGGGGCTTCCTCATCTCCAAGGAGACGCTGTCAGTGAGGATGCTGGATGACAGCCGGGACCCCACGCCACTGCTCAAGGAGATCCGAGATGACAAGGTGTCCACCATCATCATCGACGCCAATGCGTCCATCTCCCACCTCATCCTCCGTAAGGTGGGTGCACCCACCCATCGCTGACTCCCTACAGGGTCAGGGGTTAAGATGGGGTGACAGAGCAAGTCACCCAAGGCCCTCAGCAGTCACCTGGCGTTCTGAGGACCCATTTCCTTCAAGCAGGGCACAGTCACGAAGTTTGTCTCAGCTGACTCCCGGTGGCCTGGACCCTGGACGCCCCCTCCTGAATAGTTGCTCCCTTGGTGGTCGCTGTGCTGGTGAACAGGGAATGGCAGGCATGTGCTGTAGCAGTGCCAGCCCAGGTCACCGCCAGCCTCTGGGGGCAGTGCCATGTTCTTTCCTGGAGAGCCTGTCCGCTCCCTGTTGAGGGCCTCTACATGAATTTTTTAATTTGACTCTCACCCCACCTTGCGTGATCTTTGTGTGGATGAGGAAGCTGGGGCTGGGGGAGGGACTCACAGGCTCAAGGGCACCCAGGGGAACCGGGACCTTCCCCTGGGCACAGCACCACGTGTCCACCAGTGATCTGCGTTCATTAATCATTCATGGATGCCCTGCCCTTAATTTTTCCTCATAATCTAATCTGTAATATTTATTTTTCTCCACTTTGTTTTTTTTTTTTTTTCCCTAATTAAAACCATATGTCAGTGCCGATCGGAGCTTACAGAATCCTCAGGGCTTTTGAGGCTTAGAGAAAAGATTTTGGATGTGGGAGGCAGGCAGGCTGGGCTGGGGTCCTGGCCCCTGTCAGGGTCACTTTGCTCTGGGGCCTGCACGTGCCTGCTGTGGAGCAGGCTGTGACCCCGTAACAACAGTCCTGCGCACAGAAGCGTGGCCTGGGATCATTCAGTATTCTGTGGCCTCATCGGACAGGCCTGGGCAGCCCTGACAGTCTTCCAGCTTTATTCACCTTGAGGACTGAGATGGGGGCTCCAACCCACAACCTGAGAGTCCAGTGGGCGACCTTTTGTTGCAAAGTGCCTTTAAAGAGTGCTGGGAGCAGTATGTGGGCTTCTGACCAGGCTGTCTTTTTTTTTTTTTTTAATATTTATACATACAAGAATGGGGAGGTAGGCCAGAGGTATGAGGAGTGAGAGGATTCACCAGAGACAGAGTGGGGAGCAAAACAGGCAGATCTACAGAGACACACTGCTGAGGGGAGCAGCAGGGAAACAGGAGAGGTCTGCTGAGCCATATGGGTCACTCCCAGGCTGGGGCTCGAACTCATGCTGCAGTGGCTGACTGTAGCTTGACAGGACCAAGACTAACTCCTGCGCCATCAGAGAGGGCCCCCAACTGGGCTGTCATCAACCTGTACTTGGTTTAGGGGCAGCACTGGGGTTCAGGTTACCCTGTCCCACCACCATCCTGTTTCTGTGGCAGCCCTTCACCTCCGGAAGGTGGCCTTCCAAATACCCTAGCAAGGATCCGGGGCCTTCGGGGGTGCGTTCTCTCCATCCGCTCCACCCTAACGGAGAACCAGTTAATTCCGGTGCCTGTGAGAGCAGTCTGCCTCCCTGTGTCCCTGTCTCTGGGTGTCTTCTCCTTTGCTGCCCATGGGCTGTCTTCTTGCCAGACCTGCTCTAAATCTCTTCCTCTCTTGGTTTCTCCCCGTTTCTATCTGGGGTCACCGCCTCACCCGCCGCTTCGCCTCTCCTCCCCGCGTCTCCAGGCCTCGGAGCTGGGGATGACCTCAGCGTTTTACAAGTACATCCTCACCACCATGGTGGGTACTCCCTGTCACCCCAAATCCCTTCGCAGCATCTGCCCCCACAACCCCGGCCTCACCCCCTCTCCTCGGCCCCAGGACTTCCCCATCCTGCATCTGGATGGCATTGTGGAAGACTCCTCCAACATCCTGGGCTTCTCCATGTTCAACACCTCGCACCCCTTCTACCCCGAGTTTGTGCGCAGCCTCAACATGTCCTGGAGGGAGAACTGCGAAGCCAGCACCTACCCGGGCCCCGCGGTGAGCACACGCGCACGTACACTTCCGGTCAGGGGACCCCCCCCCCCAGTACACAAGCATGTGCACTTCCGGTCTGGCCCCCCTCAGCGCATGCGCACTTCTGGTGGGGGCCTCGGCGCACGCGCATGCGCACTTCCGGTCAGGGGGGCCCTCAGGACCTCTTTGCGCGTTCATGCCGCGGGCCCACGGTCAGCATCTCTGCTGCCCAGGCTGTGTGCACCTCTGGGTCTTTGCCTTGGCTCTTTGCGCCCTTTTGACACAGTCCCAGAGAACCAGCCGCTCACGCCCTCATCTTTGCGCAAATACAGCGATACAATCGTAAAACCTTCCTTAGCAGGAAACCCCACTCCTTTGCCCCCTGCCTTGTGGGACTGTTCTCCGCAGCACCTGCCTTTGCTCCTCCAGTTGCCACGTGGCTTGCTCTGATTTTGTGTGGCTGTAGATACAATACACCCGATTGTGAGTTCCCTCAGAACGGGGTTTCTGCCTGTTTTGTTCAGGATTGTCCACACCTCCAACAGCCTTGCTCATCATAGGTGTCCAATAATGGACCGTGGGTAAATGCAAGCACTCAAAAGACGCACGTGTATGTGTATTTGCTCACGGACACCTAGTCCGGTACCAGGTTACCAGGACACTTCCAGGCACCACACCAGAGAGCACACAGACAGCACACAGTCAGACAGCAGGGGAACACCCCCACACCCCGACAGGCACACCGTGCGCATGCTCGCACCTGCCTACACGCTTGTTCTCAAACCTCACACTCCTGTAGCCGAGACACAGATGGGTACACCCAGTCACCAGCCTATCAGTCAAGCCCGTGGGGGTGAAGCACTCACCCTGGGGAGGGGCCCCAGGGTGAGAAGTTCCCACAATTTTTTTAAGGTTTATTTTACTTAAAAATAAAGAACTGAGGTATAGGCCAGAGACGCAGGGTGGGTGAGCAGAACAGGGGATGGACTGAGATACACTATTGAGGGGAGCAGCAGGGAGACAGGAGAGGTCTGCCTCATCCTGTGGGTCACTCCCTGGGGATTGAACTCGTGCTGCAGTGGCTGCAGATAGCTTGACACTGCTGAGATGTAACTCCTGCACCCCCAGGGAGGCCCCCAGTTTCTCGCTTTGTAAATGAGACCTAGAGGTTTTACAACCAAGTAGATGTTTGAGCAACACTTGGCGATGAGGGAGTGGGTGCTGCTTAGGCTTCCTGTGGACATTGCCTGCTTGACCCCGCCAAGGGCTTTCACTGGCAGTTTCCTGTTACCCTCAGGTCACAGGGGAGTAAAGCAAGCTTGAGAGGTGGGGAACTGGCCCCCCAGCTCTCAGCCACTTGCTCCCAGGCTGGACTCACAGCCATGCTCTCACACCCACACCGCACACCGACCCCTTGCAGAGACGGCAGACACCTTCGTCCAACCCCACCCGCACGAACGTGCCCCCAGACTCTCGGGCTGCAGCTGGCTCCCCTGTCTGCATCAGCCCGGACACACTTCTGGGGGCCCAACCCCCAGGTGAGGGTGACACTGCTGGCCCTCCAGGCACACCCTCTCGAGACATGTCCTTCCCAAAGAGACTCGTGACCATGGAGTGGGGAGAGCTACTCTACTCAGCCTGCACACCCGCCACCCATCACCCGTGTTCCCCCACCCAGGGACCCTTCCTGATCCCTGATCTACAAGGTTTCATGTTTCCAGAGAGAGAGGAGCTGTCAGAGGGTGCGGGGGTTGGGGAGGGGGCACTTTGGGGCTCTCCTGACTCAGCTGTCTCTTTGCCATCTCCCGCCTTGGTTCCTCACCCCAGCTGTCGGCCGCCCTGATGTTTGACGCTGTGCATGTGGTGGTGAGCGCCGTTCGGGAGCTCAATCGCAGCCAGGAGATCGGCGTGAAGCCGCTGGCCTGTACCTCGGCCAACATTTGGCCCCATGGGACCAGTCTCATGAACTACCTGCGCATGGTGAGCTGGAGCGGGGCGGGCGGGGGGCGGGGGGCGGGCAGCGTTTCTGGGGGTGCTCACTGTGTCCGCTCTGCGGCCCTTCTCTCTCCCCCCTCTTCCCACTTCCCTGCTGCTTCCCGTTTCCTCGGCCTCCTCCTCCCTGCTCCCCCCCTTCCCCCCCTCTGTGCCGCCCCTTCCCACGGCTGTGTCTCACCTCTCCTCTTTAACTGTGGTCCTTCCTGGTCCCTCTCCCTCTCTCTCATCCCCTCCACGTCTGCTCCTTCCCCTGGCCCCTGCCACCCCCCCCCTCTGCCCACTTCCCACCCTGCTAGGTAGAGTATGATGGGCTGACCGGGCGGGTCGAGTTCAATAGCAAAGGGCAGAGGACCAACTACACCCTGCGCATCCTGGAGAAGTCCCGGCAGGGCCACCGTGAGGTGAGCTGCCCAGGGCAGGCGGAGCCCTGACCGTGGTGGGTGGGCTGTGGGCAGGGCCCTGAGGGCTGACAGCACTCTCTTTGCCCCAGATTGGGGTGTGGTATTCTAACCGGACCTTGGCCATGAATGCCACCACCCTGGACATCAACCTGTCGCAGACACTGGCCAACAAGACACTGGTGGTCACGACCATCCTGGTGAGTGGCCTTTGGGGGGCTGAGGGGACACCGAAGGGGCCTTTCCTGAGGGCTGCCCTGGCCCAGTTCTAATGAGGAGGGCAGTCTTGGCTGCACAGCTAGGTGGTGACCGGTGGGTGCCCCACCTCTCAGTTGCACATAGGGCCACGGACTGCCTTCAGGGCCGGGCCCAGCCCAGGCTCTGCCAGCCTGCAGGCACACACGTGTGTGATGGGAATTAGGAGCGTGTCCTGGCCTTCCTCATGCAGTGGCTGGCCTGTTAGGTCCCTGTTTGTCACTGTCACCGGAGGGAGTGTTTCGTTACATGTGCCAGCTCAGTGTGTTGGCATCTGGCAACGAACTTAATTTCCATCTTGAAAATAAGGAGACCAAGGCTCAGAGAGGTGAAGTGATTTGCCCAGGGTCACACGGCCCTGATGGAAGCTGCATCTCCGAGCTCCCAGAACCTGAATCTAAGCCTCTGTGCTTTGACTCGTCAGTGTTCTCTTTTCTGAGCTCCAGTCAAAGGCAGCGCCTGGTCTCCCCCAGGGGTGCTGCGCCTGCACTTTGCCAGATCACAGAGGGGCCTTGCTGTGTCTCTGGAGGTCTGTTCTGGACCAGCCCTGTGCTAGGGCCTTTGCCAGTGTCACTCTTTACCCCTCTCAGCTGCTCCCGGCGGTTTGTCAGACTTTCTCCTTTTGGAGCTAAGGAGAGACGCCAGAGTCTGCGGGAACCGAGCATCAGAAGGGCCCAGCCCGTCTCATCTGCACCCCACTGCCTCCCCCAGGCGTAGAGGGTCTCCTGGAGGTCAGGCCGGGCCATTCCCACAGCACCTAGCAGCAGGAGGCTCTGGGGCTCCAGATGCCACGCTCGGCTGCTGCCTGGCCCACAGTGTCCACTGTTGGTCACTGGGTGCCCCAAGCATCTGTGAACTCACTGCTCGTAACTGTGACCATGGACAGGACCGCCACGGGGTCCACAGCGCGTGAGGGGCTCCCGAAGCAGAGCTGGTTGCTAGGGAACTCCTCACCTAAAGTGGACCTTGCATCCCTCTGGACGAAGGCCATGAGCCCACGGGGGAGGCACAGATGGCCTGCAGACAGGACACCAGGCCCCGAGGCCGGCCCGGCTGCTGGGGGAAGCCAGTGCCTATGCTTCTGGAGCGTGAGCAGTCCCAGAAGCCCCTTGAGGCTGAGGAGGTGGAGTCCTTGGTGGGGAGCAGGGGCAGAAGTCGGGGGCGGGGTGTCAGCCACACACTTGTTCTTCATTCTCCCCAAAGCCCAGAAGCCAGTCTTGTTTTCTCCCTGACATTTATTCTTCTGATGGATTCATTCATTCATTCCACAAGTATTTACTGAAGCGGCCGTGTGACAGCCCTCACTCAAATTCTAGAGGCCCAGGAGGGGGCCCAGGGGATCTTGCGGTTTCCCTCGTCTTGAGTGGCACCGAGGGTCTGACAGGGCTGGGATGCAGGCGGGGAAGGGGCCTGAAGAGCACACTTTCCCTGCCCCTGCGCTTGGAGAGTGGAGCAGAGAGGGGCTGGGCCGGGCCTGAATGTCAGAAAAACTGAGGCTTGCCTAGGGAGGAGATGGCCCCAGTGTGGGGAGCGGGGGGCATCCCCGGCTGTGAGGAGGAGGCAGGGGAGCTGAGGCTGGAGGTTGAGAACCAGCAGAGCTCTGCTTGGGGTGGAGGGCGGGGGTGCTCCTGGGTGGGGCTCACCAGTTTGGAGCGGGGAGTGGCATCCCAGGGGAGGTGGGGTGCAAAAGAGGCCCAAGAGATGTGCTGTGCAGGCTCCGCCCCACCCAGAGTTCTCCAGGACTCGGCTGGTCTCCATGGCGCCTGCCTGCACTGCTGCTTCCTGGTCAGACAGACCTGCCTCCTGCTTTGCCCCTTACCACTTCAGGTCGTCTAGCTGCAGCTCCATGCCTTCTTCTGTAACAGGGTCTGGTGATCCCTTCTGGAAGGGCTTTGGGAGGGTTGAGATAAGGAAACCCCTGGCTGTGCCCCAGGAGCCCGGGAGAGGCTTCCGTCTCTCCTGACCCTGCCTCCTGGGGAAAAGTCAAGCACACCGGCCGTGTCTTTGAGCTGGTGCTGGGGCCATTTAATCTCCTGAGCCCTGATCCTCAGAAGAATAAAACTCAAGCTTAGGGGGCAGACCCAGGTGGTCCAGCTAGGGGACAGCAGAGCCCCTGTACCTGTCCACCTGTCACACCATCCTGCCGGACACTGTTTTGAGCCCCCAGGGCTGCGTTGCAGGCATGCTGCTGCCTTGCACAGCTTCAGGGCCTGGCAGGTCCCTGCTTTCTATCCTCAGCTTCCTCCTGTAAAGGAGGAGATTCAGGTATTCATAACGGTGTGGGGGTTGGACTAAAGCAAGTTTTAGGTACAGATTTTGGAGTGAGGTTCACAGGAGGGTCCAGGCAAGTGTCTTGTAGGAAATGTTCTAGAATCCACCCAACTTACTAATTTTTTTTTTAATTCGAGAGATTTTTGTTCAAGTATAACATGCGTGCAGAAATTTGTCCAAATCCTAAGTACCGCTTTGCTGAACTTCCACCTCCAGAACCAGCCTCTCTCTCTGAGCTCTCCTGGGCCCCCTCCGGAGAGCAACCCCACCTAGGTCACCTTGAACTTCACGCATTTTCCTCTGTTTCCGCTGCTGTCTAGCTGCTTCTGCTTAACATGGTTGTGTGATTCCTCCTTGACGTGGTTTCGTCTCATTGTGTGTTCTGTAACTGTACGCCGCATGCCTCCCCATCGACTGTAGATGCACATTTGGGTCGTCTCTAGTTCTTTTTTTGCTCGCACGAGCAGCCCTGCCATGAGCATTCTACTACGTGCCTTTTGGTGAACACCTACGGCACTTCTGTCAAGTGCTAGGCCCAGGAGTGGAATTGCCGGGCCTGTTTGGCTTGCCTAGATCCTAGCAAAGAGTTACCCAGAGTGGCTGTAGCATTTTTCCTTTTTTTTTCTTTTTTTAAAGATTTATTTATTTGTACATACAGAACTGGGGTACAAGCCAGAGGCTCAGGGGTGGCAAGAGGTTTCACCAGAAACAGAGCGGAAGCAGAACAGATAGATCGACGAAGTCCACTGCTGAGAGGAGCAGCGGGCGGGTCAGGAGAGGTCTGCCACACCATGTGGTCACCTCCGGGGCAGGCGGGAATCGAACTCATGCGGAAGCGGCTTAAGCTTCTTAGTGCTGTGCTTTAACCCGCTGCGCCACCAGGGAGGGCCTGGGATATATGACTTTTTTAATTGATTTGTGAGGTACTTCTAGGTTTTGCATCTAATTCCTTTATGGGATGTCTATGTGGCAAATACTTCCTCCCCCTGGGCTTACCTTTTCATGCTCAATGGTCTTTCTTTTTCTTTTTTTTTTCTTATGTTCTGTTTATTTTTTATTCCTTATATCATTGTCTCTCAATGGTCAAAAGACCATTTATAACTTTACTAAAGTCCACTCTCCATTTTTTTTTTTATATAATGCTTTTAGAACTTATGACAATTCATCTACTTGTTTTTTAAGAATTAACAATCGTACCTGTTAGAGTTAGGTCTAAGAGCCACCTGGGATTGATTTCTGCATATCACATCAAGAGGCCAGTCGGGTTACATTTTTCCCTCTGGAAGCTGAAGTGAACAACATCCTTTATCTCCATGGTCTGTCTTCTGCCACAAATCAAGTATCAGTGCGTGTGTGGGTTTCCAGGCAATCCATTTTGTTGTCTCTCTCTCTCCTGATGCCACATGGCCTTAAATACCAAGCTTTAAACTAACTGTTCATGTCTGGTAAGGTAGCTGCTTCAGTTTTCATGTTCTTTAGGATTGCTTTGGCTCTTCTTGACCTTCTGCATTTTCATATATGTTTAAAGATCAGACTTCCAAATTTAATATTAAACTGGGAGGGGGAACAGAAGTTAACACAGACCTACATAAAACAGAATTAAGAGTACATTGGGGGAAAGGAGTGAGAAATCAGTTCCTTCCCTCTCTTGTCTCCCATTTCCACCACCACCACCCCCTCTCCCTGGCCACATTCTTCCAGAAACATCTATGCACTTAAAATCACATCCCCGCTCTCTCCTTCGCAAAGAGTGGCATATTATACAAGTTGTTCTGTCGCTTGCTTTTTTTTCCCCCTCTTAATATATCTGATAGAACTTATTTTAGTTGTTGCCTGGGATTCTTCTATGACATCAATAATCTTTTTAACCTGTCCCAAATTAACCTAATTTCAACCACTTCAGTCTTTGTGCCCAAGATGAGCTTCATTGCACAACTCTCAATTTTGCGTTTCTGCCTGTGTACAGGTGCTCAGCCGGCCACCGGCCAAATTCTTAGAATCAGCCTTAGCAGTATTGCTTTCCCTCTTTCCGTCTGCAGAGTCTCTTTGAACGTCTGAAAACCTTGGATTAGCGGCTCCTTAAGAACCTCGGATCTTTAATCAAAAACAAAAGAGAAAATCAGAGCCTTGTTTCTGGTGGTCTGGGGCCCCCGATGAATCCTAGATCAGTTTTCTGTTGAATTCTATTCACAATCCCCAGCTCCCCTGCTTCTGGCTCCATAAATTTAGACCCTGACCTTGAGGCCTTGAATCCCAATCCACAACCCAACTGCCTCAGTCTTAAGCATGGAGATCAGCCTGGGGGCAGGAGCAGGGGGCTTGGAGCACAGAGCAACTGGATTTTGAATCCCAGTTCTGCGCCTCAGGGCTGTGGTTTCAGAGAAGACGCCAGCTCCCAGAGCTTTAGCTCTACACGTTAGGAAGACTGTCCAGTGGACTGGTGTCCAGCCCCGGTGTCCATCCAGGGCATCCTTCTGGCCCTCCATTTCTGATACTCAGCCTAGGTCTCCCTCTCTGAGTCGGGCTTCTGGCTTTCACCCAGGCCCCTCTGTGACTCTGCCTGGATTCATTCTAGTGCAGTGTTAGAAGGGCAGAGCTCTGACCTCAGACCGACACGTCCATCCCTGCCACTTACTACTTCTCAGGACCTCAGTGTCCTCATCTCTGAAACAGAAGTAATAATACCGACCTCCCACGCTGACAGAATAGCTGTCACACAGCTCGCTGCCGCTGCTATTATTAGTATTATCTCACATTCCTACTCCCAGTTCCACAGTTTGGGATTTGGAAAGGCAGCTTGGTAGAGAGAAGCTCTGACTTCCCTCCTACCCTCCCCCTCCCCAAGCTGTGGGGCATATGAGGTCTGGGAGTCTGCAGACCCAGCCTCAGTGCTTAGTGCTGTTAACATACCGCCTCGAGCCTCAGTTTCCACACGTGTGAAGTGAGTTGTCTTAGCCTCCTGAGTAAGGTCTCTGTGAGGAATGAGTGATCGCCTGCAGGGGCTGGAGGGAGCTCAGTGCATAGAGCCATTGCGGACACATTTGCCAAAGCTCTTCTGGCTGTTTCCCAGGTCCTGACTCCCTTTGTTCCAAAGTCCAGAGAGATCACCTGAACAACTGTTTAGACGATGACTATATCAGGATACGTATCTCTCATTACCATCATCTTCATGCACCTGGAACATTCTCTGCTTTTGTGCTTATGTGGAAACTTTCAGAAATAAGGATCAAACCTTCTGTAGGCCAGCGATTGTTGTTAGGTGTTTGTTTAATCCTCAGCTTTTTTTCCTTTTTTTTTTTTTAAGGTATTTGACTTGT